CTGCCACAGCTCCTTTCTCTGAGCCGTTCGCACTTGCATGGGTGCACGTGTAGTAATGCAGTCGCAGGCATCCTATTGTGCATGTGTGAATGGCTAGGGGAAAGGAGTTCACACATCACTAGTGCCAGCCCCACCAACAAGGTCAGCTCCCCCTGTCAGGTTCCAGAAGATGACTTAACTGTATTTGAATAAATGTAGATTGTTGTATTATACTTAATAAAAATAAGACATCCCCTGAAAATAAGCCCTAGTGTGTCTTCTTGAGAAAAAATAAATCTAAGACAGTGTCTTATTTTCAAGTGGCCCAGGGGGCCATTGCCACCTAAGGGAAACACGGTATGTAGGGGACTGGCTGGGGAAAGACAGGTAAGGGATGGGGGAATAAGATCAGGGCCCATCCTCTTTAAATGACTGTACAAGTTCACTCAGGGCAAATGAGATGGTCCTAGATGTTTAGTTCTTTGCTATATTTGGCAGTGTTTTCTAAAGGGCAAAGCATAATATAATGTCCTATGTTATGGTGAAAGAACTTTAGGAGTAAGAACAGAAAATTAAAGAAAAACTTCAAAATTCTAGGAATGTAATGATCAGCTACACCCCCAGAGTTTTCTAAACATGTTTGCAACCCTTATACCTCTGAGCCCCACAAGGCTGTGAGATGGCATCATTCCTCCACGTTGTAGCTGAGGACATGGATGAGAGAGGCTATAACTTGAAGAGTGGGTTCAGGCAAAGCCTGGCACTGAACACAGATGTGGTGAGAGGGGAGATGGGAGGAACAGGTTGCCCAGTGGCAGATCTCTAGTCTGCCCAGAAATGACATTCATAGACATGGGGGGAGTGGGTAAACATGATCTTTGGGGATAAATGAGTTAATACATACTAAAATATTAAGATGAAAATATATTATGCCTTGCTCAGCAATAACATTAATGATAGGAGCTTCTTACATAACAAGAAAAAGAATTACAGAAAGAATCAGAAAACAAAATCTAACAATTTACTGTTTATAAGTTAAAGATGTATAGCAAAATATATACACAAATTTTAAAAATAATATGCTGAGCTAAACTCTATTGTGCAAATGCAAATTCAAGAACAGTAAGAGACTTCAATTATGATATTTAGAAAAGAGGCAAAGAGGGTACTAAAAAAAGGCACAGTTTTTCAACATCATTGTTTAAATATATATGCCCCAAACATTATGATACTTACTGATAATTTATGCCCTGCCTATTTCTCAAAAAAGGATTTGAGAAAACTGTATGACTAACATAGCCACAATATATATAAGAGAGAAATAGAAAAAAAATGAAATAGAAATACTTAAAGAACAAACCCACAACAATCAGACTATGAATAGATCCAATAAGTGGGTTTTCTTTACTGTTTGGGGATTATGGCCCATTTTGAAGACAAGACCTTTCAAAACAAGATAAATGCTACAGATCCCCTCCCAGGTCAATTCATGCATGCCCACATCCACACAGCTCTGTTCAATCCCTAAGGGCCAAAACCTAAACCTAAAACCTCTGCAGGCTCAGACTCATAGACCATAGACCCTGGGTTATGAACTCTGAAGTAAACAAAAGTTAGAGAAAGATTTGAGTAAAGTAATAAAAAATTGGTTAAATAGAACTGGTAGAAGAAAAACACAATTTTTGAGAGTACACAAATGCTTTATAAAAATTGATATTTTCAGGCCCAAAGAAATTCTATGGACACTTAGAAATGTTGACACCACAGTACAGTAAGAAATAAGCAGCAATGCCCTAAGCATTCATCACTTAGAGATATTAAAACACACATACACACACACACACACACACACACACACACACACACGTAGGCCAAAAGGAAATACCTAACACTGTAACAAAAAATACCACATGTCAAAACCTATGGAGCACAGACAAAGCTGTAACTCAAAGAAAAAAAAACACAGACCAAAGTGTCTACATTTACTAGAAATAGTAAAAATATGATTAACTATATCTAAATAATCTTAGAATTGTAAAGTATTAAGCAAAAAAAAAAAAAAGAAAGGATACATATACTTTGGCAAAACAATTAGATTAGTAAACCAAGAGTTGGAGTTTTATAACATTCATCAACATCTAAGTAAACCACTGCCATCAGAAGGGGGAGATGTAAGACAACAGAAACAAACTAAAAGATAATTGACTAAAATATTACCAGATACGATTTCATAACTTTTCACTGCTTGAGAGTCAAACTAAAATGAGGAAATTTTTTAAAATATGTAATAACTTTGGCAGGCTGAAGTGGATCACTTGAGGTCAGGAGTTTAAGACCAGCCTGGGCAATAAAGCGAGACCTTGTCTGTATTAAAAAAAAATTTTTTTTAATAAAAGATTTTTTTTTTTAATTAGCAAGGCATGGTAGTACACACCTGTAGTCTCAGTTACTTGGGAGGCTGAGGCAGGAGGAGCACTTCAGCCCAGGACTTTGTTCAAGGCTGCAGTGAGTTATGGTCATGCCACTACACTCCAGCCTGGGCAACAAAGCAAGACTCTGTCTCAGAAAAAAAATAAAAGTACCTAATAAAACAGTGAAAGAATTTGAACAGAAAGAACTAGATTCTGTTCATACTTCCTAAAAAGAAAAGTACACGGTCTTATCATGTTTACATGGGAATATGCTAACCCTTAGGGGAGGGGGTATTAACCTCCGTGTTACACAAAAGGAAAGCAGGAAGAGGAGAAAGTGCACATCCCACATTCCAGAATCTGAGAACAGCAGAAAGTGAATTCTGAACCACTGGGAGTGAGTGCAGAGGGCACCCAGCAGGGGCAGCCTGAACCCACATGGCTTAATCAGAGGGAGTCAGCCAGGTTGGCTAAAATGAGGGTTTTTGTGCAGAACTCCTGAAGGTTGGTTTTTAAGGAGAGTGGTGACATGTGCAAAGTGATGCTTTAAAAATCAGTTTGGCTGAGATGTGCAGAAAGGACGGGAGAGACCAAAGGCAGGTAACAGACATTTGTCTGGTGATATTGGCGGGAGGGGAGAAGAGGTAGATCTTTCCAGGTCCCTGCTTGATGCCAGTTGCTGTCCCAGCTTCATCTTGGCATTCTCATCACTCCTGACAGATGACAGGCCAGCTGCAGACAATGCCCAAGGTGCTACCCAGGCAGTCCAACTGGTCATGTGGTGGGTTCCCAGGCACCCTGGACTGCTGGTTAAGTGTTTCACACACTCACATGGCAAAGACAGGTGCTGGGAGGAGTGGCCAGGACTCCCTCCGTGGTCTCTCCAGCCCATCACATCCATCATTTTGAAATCTCTGACCTACCAAGCCACCCTTACTAAGTAACAATTATGGCTTTCCCACATTTATTCATCAAAACTATACATGGCGGCCACGCTGAGCTTCTGATCTGCTGAAATAACCACACCACACCATGGTGAGTTCCTGTGAGTCCAGCTGTAAACTTTTGGGAAAATTTGAACTATCTCAAAATGCCTCTTGTTCCACGAGCTCTGAGGAGCCTGGTGGGGGGGGGGGCAGTGCTCAAGAGATCCCTGTGACCTTACCCATCAGCCAGGCCAGCTGACCATCACTGCCTTAGCCCATTCTTGAGGCTCCAGGGACAGGGGCACTAAGAAACAGGGGGTGGGGGTGGGGTAGGGTCTTCAAGCTCTGCTCAGCCAGAACCAACAAGCAGACATTGGAAGCTGTCAGGGGCTACACAAAAGCCCAGCACAGGGTCCATGGCCTGGCCGCACACTCTAAAGTCATAATCCCCTGGGGAGCTCTAAAGCATACCACTGTCAGGCTGACTCTGGGGTAGAGGACTGACCTGGTTGGAGTAGAAGGACACAGGAAATGGCGTTGCTTAAATGACCACCAGGTGAGCTCCAGTTGGCAGGAGAGGCCAATAAAGAATACCATGAACACAGGATGACACTGCCACACCAGGGGGTGCAAGATGGCATCTGGGTGGAAGCATCCCTGTGTGGGATGCCATGTCAGTGGGGTGTATGCAGCCTAGGTGCAAGCTGGAGGGAAGGAGGGAGGGAGGAGGGCGAGCCGTGTCTGACTAGAGCCTGCTGCAAGCCCTGTTTCAGGACCTAGAGAGAAGACACCCTTCCAGTCTACACCTCTGGGCAGGGTCTGGGTACTTTTGGGTCTCCATCCTTAGTTGCCATGACTCTTTCTCACATGACTTCATTCTAAATCGAAGCCTCATCCCAACCTCAGAGGTATGTGGCCAAATCTCATTACCTCCACCTCACAGGTGGGGAAATGGAGCCTGGGGAAGTTACAGGACCTGCCCAAGGTCACACAGGTAAGCAGGAGTGGAACTGGGATTTGAATCCAGATCTTCTGATTGGACCATGGCCTTCTCCACCAAACCACCCTGCTTCCCCCGTCCCCTGACATAGGAGGTGAGATTACATCACCACCAGACCAGACCAGAGGCGGGCCTTGCTGATGTCCAAGGCATACTGTGATCGTGGGTGCACCAGGTCTCAGGAAGGGTTTTCCCAGAAGGCAGTCATGCCCAGTGCCTCTACCTTCCTGAGAGAGAGCCCTCTGACAGGGCTGGTCTTCACGCTAAGGAGGCGGTAAGAGACCACACCCAGGGTCTTACCATCTCACCCCTATCCCAAGACCGGCTTCCAGATCCTCTTTTGCTCTGTTGACCTGTTTGGTGGCTCCACCAAGATCCAACCCAGGCGGAAAATCCCTCTTTGCTGCTGATATATCTATTTTCGAATTCATTTTTCTTCTGCTGATGTGGACTGTGAACGTGGTTTCTGTCTTTGAAAAGCGCCAGACTGCAGCCTGATATAAAGCGTGAATCTGACATTTTCCTGGGTTTAACTCAGCCTTCTCCCTCTTGACATATATTCTTCTTCTGGATTCTGGGAAAAGCAAAGAGAGGGCAGAATGAAATCTTGTAGACTCAGGAGTCAAACGGGAGAACCAGGAGGCCGAAGGCCAGCTCTGCGCCCTGGCCGCCCTATTGCCCCGCCCTCCACGGCACGCAGTTCCCGCAGTTACCGACGGAGAGCGGGAGGCTTGGCAGGGGGCTACCTGGGGGCCCTCCCCGCTAGTGGGGGCCCTCGGGAGCGCTCACGCCAAAGGGATTCCACTTGGCATCGTTATCTGGGAGGTAGCCAGGGTCTTAGCAAAGAAGCTCCGTGGGGCAGTCTTTCACGCTTTGGTGCGAGGCCCTCGCTCTACAGTTTGCTCCCAGCGTGGATCTTCTGGTGCCGAATCAGGTGCGAGCTGCCCCGGAAGGCCCTCCCGCACAGGTTACACACGTAGGGCTTCTCCCGGGTGTGGGTCTTGTAGTGCTCAATGAGCGCCGAGCGGTGGCGGAAGGCCTTGCCGCACTCGCAGGCGTAGGGCTTCCGGCCCGTGTGGATGCGCTGGTGCTGGATGAGGGCCGAGCTGTGGCAGAAGGCCTTGCCGCACTGGCAGCACTCGAACGGCTTCTCCCCGGTGTGGATGCGCTGGTGTTCGATGAGCGACGAGCTCTGGCTGAAGGCCTTGCCGCACTTGTGGCACTTATAGGGCTTCTCGCCCGTGTGGGTCTTCCGGTGCTCGATGAGGTTGGAGCTCTGGCTGAAGGCCTTCCCGCACTCATCGCACTTGTACGGTTTCTTGCCCGTGTGGATGCGCTGGTGCCGGATGAGGTGCGACCGGTGACAAAAGGCCTTCCCGCAGAGCTCGCACTCGTGAGGCTTCTTCAGTGTGTGGATTTTCCGATGCTGGCTCAGGCCTGAACTCTGGTTGAAGGACTTCCCACATTCCTTGCACTGATAAGGTCTCTCTCCTGTATGAATCCTCTCGTGCTTTCGGAGACTGGAGCTGCGGCTGAAGTCCTTCCCGCACTCCCGGCACTCGTAGGGCCTCTTCCCGGTGTGGATCTTCTGGTGCTGCGCGAGGGCGGAGCTCTGGCGGAAGGCCTTCCCGCACTCCCGGCACTCGTACGGCTTCTCGCCCGTATGGATGACCTGATGTCGGAGCAGGTGGGAGCTCTGGCTGAAGGCCTTCCCGCACTCGCAGCACTCGTACGGCTTCTCCCCGGTGTGAATCACCAGGTGTCGCAGCAGGTGCGAGCTCTGGCTGAACGCCTTCCCGCACTCACTACACGCGTAGGGCTTGGCTGGCTGCGGAGAGCTGCGAGGGGCGGTCGGTCCCGAGTCGCCCCCATCTGCTTCCTCGCAATTGCGTGGACTGGACTCTCCTCCACTATGGATTATCTGACACACACCGAGGTCGGATTTCTGGAGGAAGGTTTGGCTAAACAGCTCATGGTCCTGGGACCTGGTTCCTGGGGGGATACTTTGATGCTGAACAGGGCTTGAGCACAGACGGAAATTCCCCTCGTAATCGTCACGGTCCTCATCTTGCTCCCCAAGAGGGATCTCTTTGTAGATAACAGCCATTTGCTCCAAACCTCTTTCTGGAAGAAAAGGGTCCCCCAGGTCCATTCCAGGAAAAAGTTCTTGCTGCGTCTCTAACCTGTCCTCAAACACAAAGGTCTCACCAAACTTAGTGGCTGGGGGAACCTCCATTGTGAATCTTATATCACCCCCAATGACTGTATTTCTTCAAAAATGCCCCTCTTTGGACTGTATTTACTGTTCTCAGAATCTGAAAATAAAACAAGGGATGTTGTTAAGTTAGCAACTCAAGCTGCTCATGTGCGCCTCCCTCCTATGCTAGAATCTGTGGTGGAAACAACCAACTAAGTGTAAGACACCTTGAGATGATCCCAAAAGAGTTAGAGACACGTTTCCTTTACCAGAAATAACTGTGAGGAAGAGAGACAGACAGACACAATCAAGGGCCACATCATGGTGTCTGGACTCTGAGGACTGAAGAGGTTCAGAAAAGTGAACTAAAATAGGAAGTGGAAATCCCATCACTTTGGGAGGCTGAGGCAGGCAGATCACTTGAGGCCAGGAGTTGGAGACTAGACAGGGCAACATAGTGAGTCCTTGTCTCTCCAAAAAATTAAAAACAAAAAATTAGCCATGCTCAGTGCCATATTCCCGTAGTCACAGCTACTGGGCAGGCTAAGGTGGGAGTTCAAGGCTGCAGTGAGCTGTGATCATGCCACTGCACTCCAGCATAGGCAGTGGAGCCCTTGTGGAAAATGGGCAAGACTTGAGCTACTGGATGATCTGACAGTATTTTTGCAGAAAAGAGAGCACTTTCCTCCTACATTAGGTTGACCACATTCCCTCCAGCTGAGTGTCCAAGCCCAAGCCCTCAGAGTTGGCCTAGACCATCTCATTCTTACCCTGTCATCCAGTCCTGTCCACTTCCTAAGGCTTCGTGGAAGGAGTCTTTGGCTCTCTGTCCTCATTGCCCCTCTGCAGCTTGGGCCTCAGTGCTCCTCCCAGGATTTTTTTCAATACTCACTTCCTAACTAGCCATCAACCTCCAGCTTCCACCCCGCCCTCTGGTATATGCTCTACACAGACACCACAGTCAAATTCCCAAACAATCACAAGCCTTTTCATGTCATTTCCCTCCTTAGGATCTTGAGACAGTCCCAGTCCTTCACAAAGCCCTTCACACCTGGCCCTTCCAGCCCCGTCTCCTGCCTCTCTCCCCCATACACTCCTAACCTCCAGCTTAACAACTCAGGGGCACTATTCTTTTCTTTCCTTACAGGTCCTGCCCCCATTCTTAGACTGCTGCTTGTTCAACCTTCTGGACTCATCCAAATGTCCCCCTTCTCTGTACCCTCAGACTGTGACCATCTCAGACACACCTTGAGGGTAACCCGAGGTGCACCCATCACTCCACAACACTGCCCACCCTGCATGTTTATAAGACTCTCCCCACCACTAGCCTTCAAGCTTGCCAGGGCAAGGACTGTGTTCCTTTGTTTTGGAATTTGCAGCCACCAGCACAAATGTTCATGGTTGTTGAATAAATCATCCAATGGAGGAAAAGCCGTTTGTTTGTGTGCTAGAACTGTCACCGTTCTTTTTTATTTTGCCAAAGAACACGTTATTCAAATAAATCAATTGTCCGACTCTAGGAGATGTAAATAAAACAGACAAAAGCAGAGCTGCTCCAGTTGAAGGTGGGGTTTCAACAGGGACAAAGAAGGAGACTGGAACACCCCACTCAGCCCACCCCGCCACTCTGGTGGCCCCTGAGGAAGCCCCTCAGAAAACCCTCCAGAAACCTCTGTCAAAGTCTTCAGGGGACATGACAATAAAAGGCGCTTATGGCTCGGCGCCTATAGCTCA